TCAAACATCTATTACCAAGCACAAACAGAACGGAGGGATTCAGTCCTCTTCAACATTTTCAAAACCATCTGCGTCCCAGTTGACTTCCAATCTAGTCCGATCAGCTAAGCGGTGCGAATCATGACAATGCCTTGTTAAATGATCTCGACTGCCGCATCTCCTACATCTTCTGCGTGCACCCCTGCCCGTATAATCCATGGACATCAAGAATCGCCTCTGTTGTTGACGACCTACGGCATTATACAGAACTAAATTGACATAATCAGGAACAAGGTTCCACCCTGGAGACACCCACTCTTCTCTTCTTGGGACGGGAACAAACCTAGAATGACGAAACTGCTCACGCCATGTGCTCGTCTTATAATATTCATGTATTATGTTTTCTGGGTGATCACCAATCCACCGACATACAGCCAATGCGTGCGAACAAGGAAGCCTGTAAGTCTGCCACTTCTTGCATGAACAACGCCAATCCCTGTATTCTACTTTGTGTTCATTACCACCTTTCCCTATACGATGCCAACCTGTGATGACCCCATACACTTGTTACTGGAAATCATACAACTCCACTTTGTGAGTTGCTGCTGTATTCTCATACTTACAGAATTTCTTCCAATATTTATCTCCGATAGGAGTATTGCACTTAAAGGCATCTGTATACTGATCACGGAAGAATTTAATTGTCTTCGCCAAAGTCGATTCCACCACAGCTCTAATTGGTAAAAATCGAACACCCTTCAGAACATTGTTGTAACTCTCAGATATATTTGTTGTCAACATGCCCCAACGTGCATAATCTTGATCGTAGGCAAAACTCCACCTCCCCCTCGAAATAGCCATCATATAAGCAAGACCTGCTTCATTGCACTCTCTCAGTTGTTGCTGAAATTTTAGAAACTTGTGATTTTGCCTCTTCTTGCCCATTTTCCAGCACACCAGATTGGTTTGAACTATTTGTTTTTTGTGTTTCGCCACCATTTTACTCCGAACATGTCGAAGACAATACCTGTGGTATCCAAAATATGGTTCAAGCCACAAATCGGCATTATTCTTCAGTGCACTGATTATCCCCTTATGCCGATCTAATATAAGACACGTGATTCGGTCGTGTACAACATGAAGTCTCAAATTACAGAGAAAAAATGACCAGCTGTCCTCGCTCTCCTCATCTATAATTGCAAAAGCAATGGGCAGGATATGGTTGTTAGCAGTTTTCACCATTGTTACAAGAAGCTTACCCTTGTACTGACCGCAAAGGTGTGTTCCATCAATACTCACAACAGGTTGACACATATGAAAGGTCGCAATAGAAGGACCAAATGCCCAGAAAACATATTTGAAGACCCTATATTCATCATTTTCAGTCCCAGGCTGCCATATCCACTCAACAACTGTGTTGGGATTAGATTTCTGTAGTGCAGCCATATACCTATCATAAATACAATAGAGTAAAATAAACAGTCCAATAATCCGAGAATTATAACAGTGAATTATAACAGTGTGCATTCGTAATAGTTGAGATTTACATAAACATTCCAACATTTGAAAAACCATGGCAATTCGGAAGCTAATAAGTTTTAAATTTTTACCATGGCAATTCCGTGAAATTATAGATCCAGCTACCATAACACGCTTCGATAGCTTTTCTTCTTGCATGCCATGCCTTCTTGTACTTCACATCCACCTTATAAGCTTCCTTCACAGCATCCCTGATTGATTTCACCTTAAAACCAGGATCATTTTCAACATTACGCCTGATAAGTCTGGCTATTAACTTCGACCTCAAATTGCAATGGTCATTTTGTCTGGTTATTCCAACGCAATTGTGACGATCAACCCAGGACACAATTTGGCACAGACCATTCTTCTTCAAAGATGCACGCATCCTCCTCGCACAAGTAGATTGCCCAATTGGAATTTGCATTCTTCTTGTCGCGCACTCTGCAGACCATGACTTACGTCCAGAAGAAAGAACATAAAATTGCCTATTGTGATATATGTTCCAGTCTTCGATAGCTGCCTCAACTTCATCCCTGTTGTTGAAACAGGTATTCAAATCAAGGTTTTCTCTATCACTTTTCCACATCTTAACTTCAAATTCATCTCGATCCAGTATGCTATTTTTATAATCACCAATGTCTGAATAAACATGCTGACCAAAACCAGACGTAACTAAGTTCTGCGCTACTTCTGCTCCTGCGTCTGCTTCTTGTTCTTCTTCTTCTTCTAAGTCGGTTTTGTCAGACACATCAGTTTGGTAGTCAACTTCTTCTTCGCTTTCTACATAAGTCCCGTCTGATGCATCATCCTCATCTGATGAATCAAAGTCATCATTTTGATCCCCACCATGTCCCTCTGCAACGTATCCATCGCCGCTACTCCTACTAGGCCCTGCTTCTGCATGTTGAGAATTATTCATCTAATATTGCCGGTCCTGTTGCGACACAAATGTAACATCCTGTTTTTGTCCTGACAGATCTAACAAATTTTGGGCATGTACCGTGTCTTCATTTTCAACATATAGCTCCAAATATGATGAACCTGAAAAATAATAAATATTTTCCACTGACGAGTCGTCCGTAATTGTTGCGCTTCGTCTTACACCGTTGTTTTCAAACAACAAGTTAATTCTCAGATTTACATAATTTCTATCCCAACCCGCTTTATCACAAATTCTGCCCAAAAACTCAGAATACGACAGTTTCCGCTCAATAACTAATGTCGCATCTGCCCTGTTATTAAATGTTCTGATCGTGCCATCTTCCACAACTTTTTTGTTTCTCCAGTACACATTAATAAAATATGGACCATTCCATGCTATTTTTCTGTCAGAAATAAAATATTTCTTAAAAAAGCAGTCTCTACATTTCCATAAACAGTACAATCATTTTCAAATAATACCGTATAAATTTCAATAAATCATCCAACATTTAAAAAACAGTACAATCATTTCCAAATAAAATAGTCCGTATTTGCATAAACAGTCCAGCATTATTTCGTAAACAACCCACCATTTAAAAAAAACCCAGATTTCCATAAGCAGTCCATCATTTAAAAAAACAATCCAATATTTTCCTAATAAAAAAGTTTAAATTTCCATAAACAATCTAATGTTTCAAAAAACAGTCCAAATTTCCTAATATAACTGTCCATATCGAATTTCCTAATAAATTCAATATTTTCATACTAAACATTCTAATTCGAATTTAATAAGACCATTAATTAATTAATTTAATACAATACGATTAAAGGAAACAAATAACATCAACGGCATACTAACCTTGACGATAACAATTTTCAGGCGTAAAAAACAGGTTCAAACTGCAGACGTCTTCATATTTTTTTTTTTCCCTTTCAAAACTTTCCAGATCTGGTAACAGTGTCAATTCTTCTTCATATATAAACCTAAAAACGAATTTTAGAATTCCGTTTTTTGATTAAAGCCTGCAACACCTCTGATTCGTACAGATTATCAGTGTCAGACCAATAACGCAGCTGACAACCTGATAACAGAAAAACGGAATCCCGTTTTCCGTTTATTGAATGACATGAAAAACGGAATTGCGTCTTCCGTTTTTTTGTTGATAACCAAACGGAATTCCAATTTCCGTTTAACATTTTCCCTAATATTTCCTATCTTTTTTTTCCGAGCGAAATTAGATTTTTTAATTTTAATTATTTTAAAATTCAAAATAAGGAAACGGAAATTGAAAGTCCGTTTTTTTTAATTATAGTTAAAAAACGGAAAATCAGTTTCCGGCAAATATTTTCATGATCACAAAAAAATAATTAAAATATAAATTTCTTCCGTTTTTTTTGGGTCTATTTAGGTAAATGAGCCGTCAGTATGGAGTTGGGAGAATTTCAGTTGTATCCAGTTTGTGAAGCATCCCTGAGTTTCTTTACTGAATCTTTTCCGTTGAATCAAATGCCATAATATATACCGGCAAATTACTTTTATATTTGAATTTCAATTATTTTTGACGTTGGTCGTGTCAAACTCGAACCATTTTTAGTCAAACGTGCTCGTTGATGCCATTGTAGCCTTATTCTCATAACTAGCATAAATTCGTATCACATACATTATACTAATAATAGCGATATGCTCAAATGATTAATTAGAAGGATTTCTTGTTATTGAGTGTGCCATTATTATAAGTCAAAGTAAAAAAAAAAAAAAAAACTTTCTATTTCCCCTTATTGAATTAAAATAGTACTCCCTCCGTTCCATTTCAATAGACTCACTTTCTCCTTTTGAGATGTTTTAAAACTTAGTCACACTTCAGATAATTAATTAAATTTTTCTATAAACTCTCTAATATACCATTCTCACTTTCACTGAAATCAAGAATATTTAATTAATTTCAACCGTACTCTCTCATATCAACTAATAAGTCACTAATCATTAATTAAGTTGTAGTAGGAATTTTCTTTAAAATTAACTACATAAACTACATTATCCACTTTTTCTTAATCTATGTATATGTCTAAATGGGCCTATTGAATTGGAATGGAGGGAATATATGTAGAAGTCGTGAAGAAATTATTAAAAAGTGATTTTTTTAAAAATAACACAGGATATCATGTTGAATTTAAATGAAATACTTACCTTAATAAGGTAACTATTAATATGAGAGAGCCTCTCGCCCTCTGTTTTTTTTTCCCTCCGAGTTTGAATCAACCATGGACTTCACCAAAATTGTAAGTTGCAACTCTTCCCCAGAACAAATGAAAAATACAAAGATTTGAGTTGCTAAACTACTACTAGAAGCAGAAAAAACAATAACGATAGTGAACTATTGGGCAACTATAAGCACAATCTACACATGAAAATTGATTTGTCCTTCACCTAAGCCGAAAGTGGAGATGATGAACAAAAGACAACTAGGAAGCAAGAACATTGTACTACTTCCGGCATACCAAAATTACCAAATCTACAGACAACAAGAGTGAGCTAAGAACCGTATATTTGTCGATTAAAAGCTAAAAGATAGCAACATTTACATCCTATTGCTCTTCGAGCTCGCAGCTGCTTTGCGCTTATCCAACAACCCCATTCCTATGATCTCTCCTTCTGTTTCGAGTGTCATTCCTACAGGAGTGTGGCGGAGAAGGAAGTCATAATGCAGCCAGTCTTTGCCTAACAAAACCTGGTAAGCTGCCTTTATCTCAACTATCCTCACATCGGCAACAGACTCTTCCCCCTTTACTGTCCACCGGAAACTTGGACATTTGAACCGGCTAACTTCCCTGTACCCAAGCAGTGAAAAGTTTACCAGTATTGGTTCACCTTCCTCAATCTCACGACCTGTTGATATTGCTAAAGAAGCATAATCATAGTTATGTACATTTTCAGTACATATTAGGATTTTTATAGGATTTTCACCAACTAAAGCTCCAAATTTCAAGGGATGGTCTGGACCCAAATCCACCAGAGGGTACTTTGATGGCATGTTCTGCTCATTTCCACCCGAGGACATTAGCTTGTCTTTCATCACCTCCATTTCTATCTCCTCAATGTGTGCAAGGTTGAAAGCATGGCAAAGGGTCTTTGGTTTCCGATTCCCAATCGAAAGCTTTATGTCAGGCTTGAGCCACTCAAGAAGCTGGAAACCAAACAGCCTTCTGAAAATCCATAATTCATTTTCACCAAGTCTCTCAATTCCTCAAATTTCTCCCGGTACTCTGCCACATTAGTGTTCTGTTTCAAATTACGAAACTCCGAAACAATATCTGTCTCAGAATCCATTAACAGGACAGGCTCAGCTGGAGTTGATTTCCCACAGCCCGAAACAAATACACCCTTCACAGAAGATGAAATCTCTCCGAGTTGCAGAGACATGGTTTCCACAGCTCCAAGAAGACCAGTAATCGAATCGGCGAGAGTTCCGACTTTGGCTTCAACTTCCTGCAAAGGTCTGACTCTGACCACTGCACCAAGAACTTTGCCGGAGCCACCGGCCGCCGCCGCTTGCTTCTTGTTTCTTGCCCCTTTCCCCATGAAGTATGAGTGATCTTCAACCAGAAAAGGAACGAGAAAAATCACACCTTTAAACAATTAAAAGTTCTACTAGCTGAAATCCTCAGAACACAACAATTTCCATTCAAACTAAACAAAAATATAGATTTACAGAGTGACTTATGACTATGAAGACTAACAACGGGTCTATAATCTACATAAATTAACTACATAACATCAAAGAAAAACTCCAGAAATTCTCGAATCGCAAGAAAATTAAAAAACAGGAAAAACAAGAAAATGAGTAATCAGCCGATCAAACAGCATGCATCCTTTAATGAGCTTCACTTACAACTAGTAAAAGGTAGTTACAGATATATTACCGGAAAGTCGCCGGTGGAAAACGTTGTAAGGAAATCCTCAGAAGCAACCGCTGGAGAGAGAAATGTGTGTGTGTGTGTGTGTCTTATAAAATGAAAATGCTAGAAAATAACTACAAAGAAGAGGATCACTGCGGGAAAATCAAAAAAATAACGCAAATTCCCTCCGAAAAAAAGCTCAGCTGTTGAGAGACTACAAAAAGGGTCGGATTTGGTGAGGGGCAGTCCACCCGATGCTTCTGTAAACTTCTTTCTAGAATACTATTCTATGTAATTCCACAATCCGCAATAATTACGGTTTTATGAACACCATTGTGTATCACTGTTACATGTTGTTTTAGATTACATTCTAGGTCATTTCTACTAAGCATTTCCAGTCATTGATGCTGAGTAAACAAGATCTCGGAAAATATTCAACTCGAAATGTTAAAACATTTTCTAAAAGAAAAAAAACAAATTTTGATACGCTATACCCTGAATACATGTAATATTAATTAACTTGTCGGCTATTTTTTGCCTTTTTGGCGCTTTGCTTGCTAATAATGTAGGAGACTTTTTATAGCGCTATTAAAGGAGTTCAAGGCTACGGTGAAATTTGCATTTGTGGAAAGATATGATTTAATGAATTGGAATTGGATCACTAAACCAGTGCTTAAACAAGGAGATGAGAAGCAGACAAAGCTTTGTGTGTGTATATATATATATATATACACACACATCAGTGAAAATGTAAGAAACTAGGGGGATCAGCAACAACATTGTACCACATCTAATACTATACTAAACCTGAAGACATTACCCGTGAGTGAAGAACCGAACCACACCTGTCAACTAGAAGGTGAAAGAGAGATTGCAACATTTTTCATTTGAACAATGAATCTTCTTCCATAATCCCTAGCAACCCCTTGAAGTTCCCCATGGACTCGAGTCCTAAATACATACTCGATAGTGGTACCCCGTGTGGCCCCTCCTGGACGAAAACCCCCTTAGCATCGAAGCAAATCCTCCTCCTCCTCTTGGGCTTAGATGGTCCAGACTTCTCCAGCAACGTTATGAACTCACCTTTCTACTGGAAGTAGAACATCCCATCAGAGGTGAAGCTCAAAGGGATGTGTTCTTGCACCCAATCTGCACCTAACACAATGTCGTATGCTGCCTTTATCTCAACAATCCGCATCTCAGAGTTAAATTTGTGACCATTTGCCATCCATTTGAAATTTGGACATCTGAAACGGCTTACTGCCTTGTAGCCAAGCATCAAAAAGTCTACCCATAAGGGTTCGGCCTCCTCAATCTTGCACCCTGCTGTAGTTGCCGGAGAAGTATCAATGAAACTACAATCAATTTCAGGGGATATCACGACTTTTTTTTTCCCTTTCTCCTACTAAAGCTCCAAATTTGAGGGGGTTGTCAGGACATTAAGAAACCTGAATCTGCTCACAATGCAAGTTAGGATCGTCCCCACCTGAATACCTTAGTTTGTCTTGATCAATTTGTCTTCCATCCCTTCATCTTTCATCTCTTTGAGTGCTGTCTCCTGGGCATGTGCAAGGTTGAAAGCATGGTAAAGAGTCTCCGGTTTGTGATTCGCAATTGAAAGTTTGATTTCTGACTTGAGTCCACTCAGGAAGTTGGCAATCAAATAACCTTCTGAGAGTCCATAATTCATTTTCACCATCAAGTCTCTCAATGCCTCAAACTTCCCCTGGTAATTTGCCACAGTAGTTGTCTGTTTCAACTTATGGAACTCCCCAACAACATCTCGCTTAGAATTTACAGACATAACTGGCTCAGCTTTAGTAGATTTTCCAATGGACATATCTGCATTCTTGCTGTTTATAACTACAAGACCTTTCACAGTAGATGAAGTTTCATCGAGCTGCAGCGACATGCTTTTCACAGCTCCAAGCATATCAGTGATGGAGTTCTTGAGGGTCCCAAAATTGGCTTCACCTTCCAGCAAAGGTCTGGCCCCTGTACCCTGAACTTCATTGGGAGTTGCTGGTGCTTGATTCTTGCTTTTTGCACCTTTCCTCATGATGTCAAAGATGATCTGTGCGGAAAACAGGAACAAAAAGAATCATAGTTTGCAAAACTGAAAGGATTAATGAGGGGAAAAGGAGGGGTTAAGTAAAATCAATCTGCAAGCAAAATCACAAACATACAGTCTGCAGTCTATTATGTGGACAATTCAACACTTCCATTAGCTATACGCATATGTAGATGATTGGTCATAAATCTCAATTTCCAAGAGATATTGCTGGCATTTGCTTTCACCATAACACCACAAGGCCTTGACAATAACAATAGTAGTTGTGTAGATCATAGATTAATAATGCCTAGATCTAAAACAGAGTTTGTAAACTGGTTAGGCAAAAGCAATCAGCAAGAAAAAACACATACTCCTGTGATCCAGTCTGACTCTAGCACAAATTTTGGGGATTTCTACAGTTTCAAAGCAATTCGATGATGTTCATAATCTCAACTACCAAGACAATTACGCAAAAATTTGCTATCACTATAAAACACCAAGTCCAAACGAAAACGTAACCATCAGTTAATAGTTTCAAAGGTGAACAAGGAATCGACACATACCAGCTTAAAATCGAATTGGAGCTCAAGAAACTCCCAACTAGAAGAAATTTCGCGAGAAAAAGAAATAGGAAAACCGAAAATGGATTCAATACGAGTAATCAGAAGAATGATTGTGCATGCATCGTTGTCGAGTTACATTTTCAGTCAAAAGAAGTAAAGGTCACCGAAACGCCGCCGGAGGAATTGTTGTTCGGAGATTCCCTCAGCCGACACCGCCGGAGAGAGAGAGAGAGAGAGAGGATTTCCGGTTGTGAGCAAAACCCTTGGAGCTATGATTGAGTGAAATGGTTTAAATGGAATAAATAATTTTTTTCTGCAACATATGAGTTCCCTCCAAAGCATAAAGAAATGGAAGACGACAAAGGGTATTTATAATAATAATACGGTGCGGGGCTGTCCACCGTGGAGTTCCATAGACTTCCAATGTGTCCTTTCCCCAATCTCCCCTTTCACACATTCTGAAATTTAAATGTAGAAACTATTAGACAGACATTTTAAACTAATAATTCCAAATTTTTGTTACTTTGTTGCCCATATTTCTTAATTGATCCTACTATATCATACAACCTCTTTCATCTCAAAATAAAATTTCTGACTATTAAACTAAAAGATGTACAGTAACAATATTTATTATTATTATTTTTTTTGGTTGCCTGCCACGGTTTCTGGAAATTTGCCCCGACTAATCCGTTAGTCGACCCAGGTCGCACACCTGACTGTGGTGGGTGAGTCTCCCAACAAGAATTTTTTGCATCCACAAGGTTTTGAACTCGAGACCTAAAATAACAATATTTTTATTTTGGAGCGAAAGCGAATTTTTAAACTAATTCTTAGAATTCAAGAACAAGAGACTATAACAAAACCTTGACGGAAAGTATCAGCAGCAAGTGCGTGTCTTTGTGTTAAGGACATTGATCATTTTAGTTCCCTCCAAAAGCCAAACTGTTTAATCGAAGAGAAGAGAAGAAGGGTCTGATTCTTTTTGCCTCGTTGATTACATTTCTGTAATAGGAATAGTTTATCACTCCTATCCTTCAATACCAGTTTATTAATTTACATGTTTTAATACCAGGTTATTAGGTGTGGCTTTTCACAAAATGAAACAAACAGAAGGGAACTCCTTAGGAACAAAGGGGAGAAAAACTCGAAATTTGATCTTCAACTATTTAAATCCAGAATTTAAACGCAGAGAATTATAATCTTCTCTTAATCCGCATTTCTGAATATGTTTGATAAAGCTAAAAGCCTAAAAGACACTCATATATATATAGCTAACAAAAACTAATTGGTCCTTAGACTATTTTGAACCAAACTAAAGGGGATGTAGGAGATGACAAGCAGACAAAGCTATACACCCAGAAACTGAAGAACAACTAAGGAGCAATGACATGGTACTGCATTTGCCATACCTAAAATTAGACACGTCCATTGTAAGTAATAACTAACCGAAACTGAAGGAAATAACTATATCTGTCAACTGAAGGCAAAGGGCACTGCAACGCATTTTCATCTGAACAATGAATCTCGTTCCAGAAACTTTGACACTGATATCACCGTACAACAGCTTGTACCCGACTCAGTTGCCATGCGCAATGGTATAGATATTTCTCCTTCCTGGATGATAATTCCATCAGAAGTGAAGCACATCCGCCTGCTCCTCTGCAAATTAGCAGATCCAGATCCAGACTTATCCAACAACACTATCTCCTTTCCTTCTTTCTCGAGGAAAATCCCATCAGAGGAGAAGCTCAGAGGGTTGTTTTCACGCACCCAATCTGCACCCAAAACAATGTCATATTCTGCCTTTATCTCAACAATCCTCATCTCAGCATTAAATTTATGACCCCGCATCGTCCACTCAAAATGCGGACATATGAACCGGCTTACTGCCTTGTAGCCAAGCATCAAAAAGTGTACACGTAATGGTTCAGCCTCCTCAATCTTGCATCCTGTTGCTAGTGCTAGAGACTTATCGATGTAGCTATCCTCAATACCAGTGGATATCAAGATTGTTATCTCCCTTTCTCCTACAGAAGCTCTAAATTTGAGGGGATTGCCAGCAGTAAAAAACACCTGAACCTGTTTGCATTGTAAGTTAGGATCATCCCTAGTTGAAGACCTTAGTTTGTCTTTCAGCCCTTCGACTTTCATCACTTTGCTGTTCATCTCTTCAATTGCAATCTCCTGGAGTCGTGCAAGGTTGAAAGCTTGGTAAAGAGTCTCTGGTTTGAGATTCTCCATTGATTCTTTCACAGCTGGCTTGAGTCCACTCAGGAAGCAGGAAATGAAATAACCTTCTGAGGGTTTAAAATTAATTTTCACCATCAAGTCTCTCAATTCCTCAAACTTCTCCTGGTAGTCTGCAACAGTAGTGGTCTGTTTCAAATTATGGAACTCCTCAACAATATGTAGCTTAGAATCAACTGACATGACAGGCTCATCTGAAGTTGATTTACCACCACTTGCATCTACATTCTTGCTGTCTTTAACAAGATCATTCACAGCAGATGAAATTTCATCGAGTTGCAGGGACATGTTTTTCACAGCACCAAGAAGACTAGTTATAGTGTCCGTGAGGGTCCCAAAATCAGATTCATCTTCCTGCAAAGGGCTGCGCCCTGTACCCTGAATCTCATTGGAACATGCTGGTGCCTGATTCTTTTTTCTTGCACCTTTCCCCGGGTTGCCAACGTGACTTGTTTGACAAACAGGAAGCTGCAATGGTCGGTCCCCTGCGCACTGAACCTCGTTGGTATATCCTGGTGCCGGATTCTTGTCTCTAGCCCCTTTCCCCATGATGCAAAACTGATCTGTGTGAAAAAACAGAAACCGAAAAATCACACTTCGCAAAAACAGACAGCTCAAAGTGGAGAAGAACAGGGTTAAGCAAATCCCCAAGCAAAATCACAAAATACAGTCTGCAGTCTACAATTTTTCGGTTATTCTACACTCTATTAGCTTAGTTTGTCGATGATGGGTCATAATCAAAACTTCCAAGAAATTATTGCTAACATTTGCTTCACAGTAACGCCACAACGTCCACACAAGAATTATAGCTGGGCAGATAAAATAATGCCTAGATGACCGCAGTTATATAAATAATCAGCCAAGAAATTACAACGACGAACTAAGACGTAGCAGCAAACAATCCAATCGAAGATTAACACCAAGAAATCTAAAAATCGCAATAATTCGCCAGAAAAAAAAAAAAGAAAATAGTTTCAGTGAATAGAAGAACAAGTCGCATGCAGCATTCATCTATTTCCATTTCATCAGATAAGCTAAAATTAAGCATAAGAAGTAAACATTACCGGAAATTCGCCGGAGGGAAACGATGATCGGAAATCGCCAGAGAGAGGGTTTTCGATTGTACACGAAGCCTCGAAACCCCTTGTCTAAAATCCCTACTCAGTCTGAGAGCCAAGTGGAAAATATTTAAAAATGAAAATGAAATAAATAAATTTTTTTGGAACATTAATTCCCTCCAAACCGCTGGATGAGAACAAAGAGGTGTTGATACGGTGGTGGCTAGTCCACCAGATGCTTCCATAGACTCCTTTCTAGAAAATGTCCAGTGATAAAATTTCCATTTTTTCATTTAAATTGGAACTGACAATAGTTTCAAAATAAATAAATAAATAAATAAATAAAAATTCTAGAGCGACAATTGGTGTAAACTTGGAGCCCATCGTCCTAGGTTTAAACTAGGATGTTTTTTTAATTGAAAAAAATCTTCAAAATATATTTTTACATTCGTTGTGTTCTTCTAATAATTATGAAATGTTTTTAAAATTTTTATTTCAATTAAAAAGATATCTTAGGCAAAACCTAGGACAAAATCAAAATGCCACCGGAAGGAATATTTTGCAAAGGGAGAAATTTAAACTGAATTCATTTCTTATTTATACTTTATAAATAGGATCATGGAATAACAATCACATTTAATCATTAGTGAATGTAATAGTTCAAAAAACGAAAAATAGTGAATTTTTTTGATAGTCGTACCCTTATTATAGAACTAATATGTAGAAATAGTAATTTATTGGGAAAATAGGAAGCAACTGAGATAGATATGTGCCTCCTCCATTGATCTCTCTAATTCATTTTTTCATGAAACTTGAAAGAAATTGTGCATGTTTGAAATTAACTAAAGCCTAATTGATTGGAACAAAAATTGAGCGTATTGAACTTCTTCATCAGAAGAGTATGCGAAGGGTAATGCGTGTTTACTGTGCCTATATGAAGTGCCAATAAGAGGATACATATCAATGTTGACAACAGATCTTACAATAATTGGGTGGACAAACGTTTAAAAAATTGTCATAATTATGAATGTTCTATTGAATTTCATTATTTGTTTTCAAAATCTTCCCTATTGGGCCGAAACGTTCAACTCTGTAAGCGTTCTTTTGGTGACGAGGAGTGCTCCAGCAGGAAAATTCTAATCCACTATGGGGTTTACTCGAACTTGTCCCTGAATCTGGTTATTCTTCTCCTCCTCCTCCTCTTCCTTGTCAACGTGAATCGTGGCTCTGAAGTCTAAATAAGATCAATTATTCCATTTTTTGTTCATTACATTTCTTTCCTCTTCTTGATTATGATTAAGATGAATGTCTGTTTTTGTTGATTGAGCAACCAAAACAATGAATGAATGGAAAAACAAAAATGAAGCCTTAAATGTGATACTCCCTCCGTCCCCATAATTATTGTCCAGTTTGAGTTTTTTATTTCTAGTTCAAATTGTACTAAAAGTGAAATCTCAAACTGAATAATAATTTTGGGATAGAGGGAATACGTTCTTTGTTTGATCACTGTGCAGATATGAATACCATGTGCCGAATCAAATAAAATACTCCATTACTCCTATTATTAGGAATGCATTACAGATACACAGAGCTCCTACTCTATTGATCATGATTGGATTCCCGGATTTCCTTTGTTATAAAAACTATTCTGAATCAACCCTACAATTTGGATATAGATAGTTTTTCTGGAAACAATGTACACGAGTACTAACAGTTTTTCTGGAAACAACGTACGTCCGGCATCCTGAAATACTAGAACTAGAGACATCAAGGTGAGCTAAGAACCGAAATCTAACAAGATCAGTCAACTGAGAGGCAAAAAGATAGGTTAAACATTTTCATATAATCAATGATCATAGTAGCAGGACAACAAGGAGGACTTGACAAAACCATTCTTCTTCAATTCACATCCAGTGGATCCTCTAAGGTCTCAGCTGATTAGTCTCCCATTATCCAACACCCTTAGCATCTTCCCTCCCCTCTCGCATGTCATTCGGTTAGATGTGATGCGGAAAAGGTAGTTATCCCGCAACCAATCTTTGCCCAACAAAACCTGGTAAGCTGCATCTATCTCGACTATCCTCACATCGGCAACCCACTCTTCGCCCTTTACTGTCCACCGGAATCTTGGACATCTGAACCGGCTTACCGCCTTGTACCCAAGCAGTGGAAAGTCCACAAGTAATGGTTCAGCTTCCTCAATCTGGCACCCTGCTGACACTGCTGAAGAAGCATCAAGATAGCTATAGTCAAGTCCATGACAAACTAGGACTTTCATAGGCTTTTCACCAACTAAAGCTCCAAATTTCAGGGGGTGATCAGGACCTAAATTCACCAGAAGGTACTTAGATGGCATGTTCTTCTGCTCGTTCCCACCTGAAGACATTAGTTTGACCTTCATCATCTCCATTTCCATCTCGTCCATGCTTGCAAGGTTGAAAGCATGGCAAAGGGTCTTTGGTTTGTGATTCCCAATCAAAAGCTTTATCTCAGGCTTCAGTCCACTCAAGAAGCTGGAAACCAAATAGCCTTCTGAAAATCCATAATTCATTTTCACCATCAAGTCTCTCAATTCCTCGAATTTCTTCCGGTACTCTGCCACATTGGTGATTTGTTTCAAATTACGAAACTCCGAAACAATATCTCTCTCAGAATCCATAACAGGCTCATCTGTAGTTGATTTTCCACTGCTAGAAAGTGCATTCCTGCTGTTGTTAGCTACACCATTCACAGAAGATGAGATCTCACCGAGTTGCAGAGACATGTTTTCCAGAGCTCCAAGAAGACCGGCAATCCAATTGGTGAGGATTCCGACGTCGGCTGCAACTTCCGGCACAGATTTGACTCCGACCTCTGTATCATGAACCTCACGGGAGCTACCTGAACTACTTCTTGCCGCCGCCGCCGCCGCCGCCGCAGGCTTCTTGTTTCTTGCCCCTTTCCCCATAACATACAAGTGATCTGCGCCATCAAAGGAGTGCAGGAAAGCTTAAAAAGGGGAAATTAATGGCGATTATGTGAGGCTCCGAAAAAATCATCTCAACACCACGAATTCCAGACAAAAACTAAGTAAATCTAGATCTACAGAGTGAGGTATGGCCATGAAAGACGAACAAAGAGACAATGATTCTAAATAACTATATAACACCAAAGAAGAACTCCAGAAATTCCCAAATCGCAAGAAAATGCAAAAAAAAAAAAAAAACAGAAAGCAGAAAGAGAAAATTATTGCGCTTATGGATGAATGAATAATCTGGCCGATCAAATTGCCTGATGAGCTTCAGTTAACTAGTAAAAGGTAGATATATTACCGGAAAGTCGCCGGAGGAAAATGTTGTACGGAAATTCTCAGCAGCAAAACCGCCGGAGAGAGAACGAGTGGTTTTTTGGTTGGGTGGAAAATGCTAGCTAGATCTAAATATAACAGTGTGGATCACTGCGGGAAAGTTAAATGAAAAAAATAAAAATGAAATTTTGCAACTCAAATTCCCTCCAAAAAGCCCTGCTGTGTTAGTAGATTGGATTATATACACAAAGGGTATGAATGATATTTTGAGGGATTGTCCGCCAGATGCTTCTGTAGACTCCTTTTCTTCTACAATATTCTATGAATTCCACAATAATTATACTGCACACTTATATATTTATTTATTATGTATTTTCTCCATCAAAAAATAAAAATAAAAATCTTCATCGTTAAAGTGTGAATTTGTAATTTTTTTTGGGTACAATTCGCTAAATAATACTACCTCCATCCAAAAAAATAGTCTACATTAAGTTTTTAAATTTATGCTAAAAATAATACAAAACTTAAAATTCAATGTGAACTGTTTTTGTGAGACGGAGGGAGTACAACGTAGACGATTTTTATAAAATGGAGGGATTATCATATTAGTTGCATGTTATCTGAGATTACATTTTGTCGTTTCTACTTTGTATTTGTTCTCATCGATGCTCATCGTTAAAAATTTTATCTTCAAAAACTCCCTAATTTTTTCATTTTTTTTAAAAGTAGATTTGGCAGTTACTCTACAATCCCATAAATCATAGTCGAGTGGCTGGTTGATTATTGTCTCGTTATTGAATTTTGTAATTGTTACTTCTTTTTTTTTTTTGGTACAATAGGTAATTGTTTCTTACGATAAAAAGAATTATGTAATATTTCCAATTTTCCATAGTTTGGTGGCTATGGAGTGTATTTATAGTGATAAATATAAACAAACGAAATACAAGGCCAACTTTTTTCCCGCTAGTCATCTCTGAGTCCGTGAGAAAGGCGATCAGTGTCCTACCTGTTCGATGAATTGCCTCAGAGAAACATTTAAAAATCGTATACCTTTATGTACCATTCACCCTCTTACCGCTTTCTTCCATTCGGCACCATCTCGAAACATCCTCAAAATCGGACAGCCCTTGAAGTTAACCCGCCAATTCTCCGACTCGGATATAGCGGAATATTCCAAACTTAGCCGAGATTCAAACCCTCTACATTTTGATCCTGAATGTGCCAAATTGGCTGGTTTTGATGACAGGTTAGTCCCAGGATTGCTTGTTGCGACCCTGTTCCCCAGAATCATCGCAGCTCATTTTCCCGGAGCCGTTTATGCGTCGCAAACGCTGCAATTCAAGTTGCCGGTTTATCTCGGGGAAGAGATCACCGGCGTCGTCGGAGCAACGAGCATCAAAGAAATGAGAAACAAATACGTAGCGAAATTTTCGACGAAATGCTTCAAAAATGGGGATACCCTGGTTATTGATGGTGAGGCCACAGCAGTTTTGCCTTCTAATACTATAGCTTTGGAGCAACAATGACGTTTTGGCCTTGGAGGATAACGGAGATTGAGTCTCTCGGTCCCCGTGGAAAGGACACAATAATAATGTCGACATCGAAGTTTTGTTGAAAAGTTATCTTCTACAGTATTTCTTTTTTAGTTTATTACATTTGGGCAGCAAAATTACTTTCTTCCTCCCAATTTAATTGACCATTTTGTTTTTACTTTTTATAAGATGAGAAGTGGCCATTATGGTAAAGAACTAGTAATAGTAACATTCTTGACATGTAAAATAGTTTGAAAAACTTTGAGCGAGAGCAAGTTCAATCCCAATTACTCCCTTCTACAAAACTACTAATTCGAATCTACTTTATCCTGGAGATGCAAAATCGAAAAAAATAAAATAAACAAATAACAGGGATTTCGAACAAACTATATCGTCTTTCTCTCGAAAAAGGTACCAAATTAATTCAGCTTCTACAGTTTCAGCCTTTGCGCTGGACCAATATATTATATAGTTGATCAGTTGTTTATTACTCTTTCTGTCCAAAAAATTAGGGTCCTTGACTCATCAGTGGTTATGGCGTTCACAAATATCCACAACAAAACGCATTTCATCGTCCTGTAGATAACACCACAACTCAATCTCGTCAAATTCATGGAGACCGTTTCGGTGAACCACATGCATCCACCCTTTGTTCAACACAAGCTTTTCCAGACTTGGCCACTTTGACAAACTCAACTGGTATTCCCGGCGATCGTTATCTGTGGCCGTAACCCTAATGCCCTGCTTTGAAGTCTCCAACGAAGTTTTCTCCTGCTTACTCAAGAACTCATACAACTTACGATAGCCAGGGATTAAGAGTCTTCCCTGCATCGGCGAAACATCAGACTCTGTAAGCTTTTTCTTGGTTACCAGGAACGCTACAGAAGGAAGTTCTATTCCACTATGAGTTCTCACTTGTTTAACTTGCATCTGCTTTCCAAACAATCTTATTGTTTTGGCTTCTGTCGACATTCCTTCTTCTTGATTCTTAACGTCTTTATTGATGATGCTTTTCTTTGTTTGATCGATGTGTATATATACATAGTACAGAAACGTTTCAAAATCAATATTCCTATTAGGAAACGGATTGAAGATAGAAAGAGCTCTCCGGTGTCTCTGTTTCTTCTTTCGTTTCCTATTCTGAATCAACCATGGATAACTACTCTTACTACAACTAGTAGCAGAAAAACGAACGCCAATATGGCCAAAAAAAAAAAAAAGAAGCAAAAATTTTACTATACTATCAAATAGCTTAAACATGGTGATATGAAATTCGTGGACAGTTATAACAAATGCACTAACCATCATTTTGTTAGGGATAGCTGACTTACCCTTAACCATAAAGAACTTAACAGAAGCCGAAAGTTGAGATGAAAGTGCAGAACACTGAAGAGACACCTAGGTAGCAAGAACATTGTAGCAAGTCTGGCGTATAAAAATATTAAAGCTAAAGAGATCATGAGTGAAATAAGAAATGAAATCTAACACACTGGACAATATCTGTCAACTAAAAGCGAGAACAAAAGCAACAGTTTATATAACCAGTGGTCCAGTGATCAAAGCAGCAGCACAAATAACAGGACGTGGCAAACCAGCCTTTTCATTCACACACATCAGCTTGCTCGGTTAGGTCTCAGCTGATTCGTGAGTATCCAACAACACTATCTCCTTTCCATCCTTCTGCACGGTGATCCCACCAGAAGAGAAGCACAATGGATAGTTATCTTGCACCCAATCTGTGCCCAACATAATGTTGTAAGCGGCCTTTATCTCGACTATCCTCACATCAGAAAGACATGACCCTTAACCGTCCAACTGAACCTTGGACACCTGTACCGGCTTACTGCCTTGTACCCAAGCATATAGAAGTCCACTAGTATTGGTTCGGCTTCCTCAATCTCGCACCCTGCTGTTATTGCCAAAGAAGAATCCAGATAGCTGTATGCACTTCCAGTAGATATTAAGACTTTTACTGCCTTCTCTCCAACTGAGGCTCCAAATTTTTGGGGGTGGTCAGGACCAAAATACACCTGATAACACTTTCTCCTCATTCCCATCCAAAGACATCAGTTTGGCTTTCAGCACTTCAATTTTTATCTCCTCGATGCGAGCAAGGTTGAAAGCATGGTAAAGAGTCTCTTGTTTTCGATTCCCAATTGAAAGCTTTATTTCAGGCTTGAGCCCACTCAAGAAGCTGGAAATCAAATAACCTTGGGAGAGTCCATAATCCATCTTCACCATCAAGGCTTTCAATTCGTCAAACTTCTCTTGGTACTCTGCCACATTAGCGGTCTGTTTCAAATGATGGAACTCCCCAACAATGTCTCGCTTCGAATCAACATACATGACACCTCCGGAAGTTGATTTACCACAGGTTGAATCTAGGTTCTTCCCATTGTTGACAATACCATTCACAGTATATGAAACCTCATTGAGTTGCAGAGATATGTATTCCACAGCACCAAGAAGAGTAGTAACTGCATTGGTGAGGGTTCCAATATTCGATTCAACTCCCGGAAAAGATCTGACCCCTGCATCATTAGCCTCGTGAGACCTACTTGCATCAGCATGCGTCCTCATTCTTGCCTTTTTCACCATGAATTTCAGGAACGATTAAGGAAGGTGAAAAGGGGCTAAAACAATCCATATGCAAAGATCTCAAACACGCGAACCAGAATGGTAATGATGATTTCAATTTCAGAAAAAATCGGAGCAACACCAACAATTCCTGGCAAAAACTACAATACTAGGGTATACAAAACCTAGATCTACTCACAAAATCAAGTGATCAGCGCAAGTACTTAAAGCAGCCACGGTGTGATCATAGATGAACAATGAATCAATATTAACGGCATAACATCAAGGAGGAGAGCTCCAGAAAATATCACCTAGTCAAATAAAATGCTGAAAACCCAAAAGAATAAGAAAAAGAGATAATCATTTCGTAAAGAGTGATTGAGCCGAACGAATTACATGCTTCCTTTCACGAGTATCAGTTTAATCACATCTGCAAACTTTAATAACTTTAATAGTACATAGTAACATTACCGGAAAGTCGCCGGAGGAAAGGTCTGACGGGAATTCTCGGCAGCGCCTGCGAGAGAGCTGCGAGTGTTTGATCGTGAGAAAAAATCCCCCCCAAATCAGTGCTAATCGTTGAGTGGAAAATTTAAAAAAGGAAAATGAAAATTTATTTGTAACACAGATTCCCTCCAAACCAAGCTCTATATAATGGATGAGAACGAAAAGGGTCCGATCCAGTGAGCTGCTGTCCACGATAAGCTTATGTAGGCCAGAATTTTTTTTTTTATAGTGCAGATTGCAGAATAATATTAGCTAATTATTATGAAACTTTATGATCCCTTCGATTATATTGACTATAAAAATGCACTCCATCAATTTAGCATAAGGAGGTGAAATATTTCTCTTTGAAACGGAGGGGGAATATGATCTAATTGATTTGGATAGTAACATATAGACACATTATTAAATATTCTGATGATAAGTATCAGCATCATTCTGAGTCATGAGATGGTATTTCGGACTACTTAAGGTTAGGCAAATTTTGGTCTTTAGAAGAAAAGTTTAAATAATCCATCAGAAATTATTACCCGTCGTTTAAACAATCAGTTACACTTTTTGTGGGATCCCAAATCATGAAGATTTGATCTTTCATTTATCAGAGCATTTGAAGTTACATATATATATATAAGCAGTGATTTATCCTTGACCATTTTGAACTTTGAACCTGATAAAAGCAGATGATAAGCAGAGAAAGGCTATACATCCATGAAAATGAACAAACAACAAGGGGGCAAATGGACATTGTACCACATCTGCCATCACCAAAAATACTGCAACTAGAGGCATTACTCAATAAGTGAAGAACCGAAATCTTAAGCAACGAACCACATTTGTCAACCAGGAAGGCCAAAGACATTGCAACCCTTTTTTACTAGAACAAATAATCTTCTTCCAATTTCGATAGCATCCCCTTATAGCTCCCAATGGATTCGAGTCCCGCGTAAAAACTCGACAATGGTATTCCCCTTTCTTCCTCCTTGGCATAAACCCCCTCAGCATCATAGCAAATTCTCCTCCTCCTCTTGGTCTTATATGGTCCTGTCTCCTCCATCAAGATTATAAACTCTTCTCCCTTCTGGTGGTAGATCATTCCATTAGCACAGAAGCTCACAGGGTTGTTTTCATTCAACCAATCCGCACCTAACACGATGTCGTATGCTGCCTTTATCTCAACAATCCTCGCCTCAACATGAAATTTATGACCCTTCACCATCCACTCGAAATTTGGACATCTGAAACGGCTTACTGCCTTGTAGCCAAGCATTAAAAAGTCCACCAGTAAGGGTTCAGCCTCCTCAATCTTGCTCCCTGCTGTGATTGCTAGAGAAGTATCAATGTAACTACAATCAATTCCAGGGGATATCAGGACTTTCACTTCCCTTTCTCCCACTAAAGCTCTGAATTTGAGAGGGCTGTCAGGATTTAAAGATACCAGAACCTGTTCACATTGCAAGTTAGGATCGTCCCCACCTGATGAAGACCTTAGTTTGTCTTTCATCAATTTGTCTTCCATCACGCTGCCTTTTGTCTCTTTGATTGTTATCTCCTGGATCCGTGCAAGGTTGAAAGCATGATAAAGAGTCTCAGGTTTGCGATTCGCAATTGAATGTTTTATCCCTGACTTGAGTCCACTCAGGAAGCAGGAAATCAAATAACCTTCTGAGAGTCCACAATTCATTTTCACCATCAAGTCTCTCAACTTCACAAACTTCTCTTCGTACTCTTCAACAGTGCTGGTTTGTTTCAACTTATGGAACTCCCCAACAACATCTCGATTAGAATCAACACACGTGATAGGCTTAGCTGAAGTTGATTTTGCAGAGGCCGCATCTGCATTCTTGCAGTTGTTAACAACAGTGTTCACAGTAGATGAAATTTCATCAAGTCGTAGCGACATTTCTTTCACAGCTTCAAGTACACCAGTTATGGAGTTATTGAGGGTTCCAAAACTGGCTTCATTGATTTGTGCTGGTTGGTTCTTGTTTCTCGCCCCTTTCCCCATGATGCAGAGGTTATCTGAGTGAAAAGACAGGAACCAAAAACACCAGAATTTGAAAACACAGGGGTTAAGTAAGAGCAATTCGCAAGCAAAATCACAAACACACAGTCTCCAGTCTACAATTTTTGGGCATTTCTACAATTTCAATACCAAAGAAAGCCGGTGATGGTCATAATCTCAATTACCAAGAGAATTATCGCTAAAATTTTGCTTTCAGAATAACACCAGAACGTCCAGAGCAGAACTATAATACACACAGTCACATAGCTCTAGTCAAATTACAAGATCTATACAGAACAATTACTAAAAATTTACAAAAAATAAACGCATAAAAGCACAGAATCGAAGTGGAACTCCAGAATTTCTCATATCCGCATACATTTACGAGAACGAGGAAAAGAACAACCGAAAATAGTTTTGCCTGTGAGTAAATAATGATCTAAAGAATCAGTACATCACCGAAATGCCGCCGGAGGAAACTTTGCTCGGAGATTCCCTCAGCCGATACCCGCCGGGAAGAGAGGGGTTTAGGTTACACAAAAAACCCCTGATCCTAAAACCCCCCAGTAGACGTCTTAATAATTTTCTTTTTTCTTTCTGCAACATAAAATTCCCTCCAAAAGTCCGATAATGTGGGATGAGGACAAAAAGGGGTATCATATGGTGTTGGGTAGTCCACGAGATGGTTCTATAGACTCCCCTTCCTCTAAATCGAATAGAATAGATGGAGATAGATACTTGGCTAGTGATATGAAAATTTTAGTTCATCATCTCCTTTGAACATTTATAGTGTAGGGAACATTTATGTTCTAAATTTATACTCTCCCTCGTCCTAAAACGACTAATTCAAACGGGACCGTCATTAGTCATTTCAAGACGGACGAATATTACATTTTAATCTTTTCTTGCATGTTACAATACACATTTTAATTTTTCTAAATAACACAAACACAATTGGAAATGAAAACGTTGTAAGGGTCAAGACGTATTTTGAACCATCATGTTTGCGTTTCTAAAGTATTGAGGCTTTGAACCTTATGGTTTTCGATAGGACTAAGGCCTGAGTCTCATGTTTACGCTTTTTCGATGGCATTTTTTTTCTTTCTTTCATCTTAAAATAAGATTTTTGATCATTGAACTAAAACACTTTTAGTTTGGAGAGGAAGAGTAAATGATTAGTTGAAACCTACTACGAATATGATCTTTCCAATCAATCACTGGCTACCGATTTGATTTTTCAAAATTAGAGAGTCGACTGTGAAACAATAAGAGTAACAAAAACCCATTACTATGAAGAAAAAGAAAAACTCGACGTTTAATCTTAAAACACGAGCTTTCAACTTTCATTGTTCAGACAGTCAATGACATATAAAAGTCTTCCACATTTCTTAATACGTTTGATAAAAGCAGCTACAAGGCTAAAAGAAACTCTCATTCTGTCTAGTGTATAACTAAGAAAGAGCTATTGATCCTTAAACCATTCTGAACTAAACAAACACCATAAAATTCAAAGCTTCTTCTGCACTTCAAGCAGAATCATCTATCGCCTGCTTTGCAGCAATAAAATTCGCTAGTGAACAGCAGTTAGGAGTTGCAAATATTGGCACGGACTCCACAAACCTATTACTGTTTCTGATGAAGCCAGACAATCGCCACCACATATTCGACATATTCTAGTAGATATAATCCATTATATGTCTAGGTTTGATATTTGTACAATCAAGAAAGCAAGTAGAAGGGCTTTAGAATTAGTTCAAAACAAGGCAAAGCCATGTAACCGACACACTGTACCTTCTTCTATTTCTTCTATTTCTCTTTCATCTCTCCAATTGCAATCTCCTGGACGCGTGCAAGGTTGAAAGCATGGTAAAGAGTCTCTGGTTTGCGGTTTGCAATCGATTCTTTAACTTCTGACTTGAGTCCACTCAAGAAGCTGGAAACCAAATAACCTTCTGAGAGTCCATAGTTCCTTTCCACCATCAAGTCTCTCAGTTCCTCAAACTTCTCCTGGTACTCTGCCACAGTGGTGGTCTGTTTCAAATCATGGAATTCCCCAACAACATCTCGCTTAGAATCAACTGATATAAAAGGCTCAGCGGGAGTTGATTTTCCACAGGCCACATCTATGTCCTTGCTGTTGTTGACAAGACCATTCACAGTAGATGAAATTTCATCGAGTTGCAGCGAGATGTTTTTCGCAGCTCCAAGTAGACCGGTCACTGTGTTCGTGAGACTCCCAAAATCGGCTTCATCTCCCTGCAAAGGCCTAGCCTTAGTCCCCTGAACCTCAGCGATACGTGCTGGTGGCTGATTCTTGTTTCTTGTCCCTTTCCCTATTATGCAAAGCTCATCTGCTCGAACAACAGGAATCTGCAAAGGTCTGTGCGTTGCACATGGAACCTCAACGAAATCTGCTGGTGCCTGATTCGCATTTCTTGCCCCCATCCCCATGATGCAAAGGTATGCCTGATTCTCGTTTCTTGCCACTATACTCATGATTCGAAGGTGATCTGTTTGAAAACCAGGGGGGGAAAGAAATATAAATCCCTAATTTGCAAAATCACAAAACACACAGTCCCAGTCTACAAGTTTTGGGCTTTTCTACATCTTTAAGCTAAGCATATTAACAATGTTGATAATCTGATTGTCCAGGAAATAATTGCTAGCCTTTGCTTTCACGGAAACACCACAAAATCGAGACAAAAACCATAGTTTGTGTAGATTTATAATGCCTAGATGTAGGCACAGATATAACTAATCAGTAAAAATAACTACAACCACGACCAAGGAATCTAATCTACAAGTAAGCTACATAAAATCAAGGCCGAACTCCGGAAAATCTCAAATCGCACAAATTCACCAGAACAAACAAAATAATAATAATAATGATAATAATACCAGAATGCATCGTTGATCGGTTTCCATTTCATCAGGTCAGCTAACATTAAGGATAAGAAGTAAGCATTACCGGAAAGTCGCCGGAGGAAGACGATAAATAATTGGGAAAATCCTTCAGAAATCGCCAGGGAGAGAGAGGGGTTTTCAATTGCACACAAAAAACCTGCTGAGAGAATACTACTGAGTAGTGACAAGTGAGTGGAAAAGATTTAAATGGGGAATAAATCATTTTCTTTCGTGCAACATTAATTCCCTCCAAACCGTTGGAAAATGGGTGAGAACAAAAAGGCAAAAGGTTGTGATACGGTGGTGGCTCGTCCACCAGATACTTCCATAGACTCCTTCCTAGGAGAAATAGTTGTTTATTAAAATAAAAGTTGTATATAAAATGCTTTTATCATTTGTTATTCTTTAGTAACATTGGTCGATACATTTCAACATTTATCAAGTTTGAGAATTCATTTCAACCTTTTAATAGTCATATTTTTTGGAATGTTCCTGGAGTAAAAAATCAGGCTTCTCAACGTCGCCTGAAGTCACTAACTCGTAGATACAAAGTCTCCTTATTAGTTTTGCTTGAGCCTATGTTGTCTACTAATCAGTTGGAAAAAGTTAGGATTAAGTTAGGATTTTTAAAAGCTTTTGCATCTAATACTAGTAAAATTTGGTGTTTTTGTACTGATGATTTAGATCTTCAGATAATTGGTGGCACTGATCAAACTCTTAGCCTTCAAGCAAAAAAAAATTCTGAAAATTAGGATTTCTTCATTACAGCTGTATATGCTAAATCCACTCATCTTGGAAGGCAGTTTCTGTGGGAAGACCTGATCAACTTTCGTCAGCAGCACTTGAGCACTCCCTGTATTGTTAGAGGTGACTTCAATGTGATTAGAACTCTCGAGGAATACTCAGGATCATCGGTCCAAGATTATTCGACTATTGAGGAATTTAATGAATGAATTGAATCCTAAGTTTGATGGAAATAAACGTAGCTGGGATGATTTTACTTAGGGAGGCACACGTAGTACATGATGGATAAGTAAAAGTTAGATCATTTTCTATTTTCTTAGGAATGGCTAGCTATTTTTCCTGCTGCTTCTGTTAAACATCTTAAAAGAACTAAATATCACTGCCCTCTTCTCTTACAATACAAAAAAAGATGATGATTCGCTTAAAAATTTTCTATTCCAAAAGATGTGGTCCAGGAGGCCTGATTTCCTCAATGTAGTGCAAGAAAACTGGTCTCAGCCTTTAGAACAACAAGGTATGCTTCGGTTTTCCTCAAGCTGAGAAGGTTAAAGCACAAACTTAGGATTTAGAACCAAGAAATCTTTGGGAATGTATTCAATAACTTGAAGATTGCAGAAGATGAAGTTAAAGCTCTGGAAAAATCAATATGATATCAGTAAATTGGAGGGTGACAGAATCCGTCTTCAACACTCTAAAGCTCATCTCCTCTTAAAGCTGAAGGAACAATAAGACTTTTGGAATAAAAAAATGATGCTAAAATGGATTAAGGAAGGTGATGCTGACACAAGCTATTGCCTCTCTTGCTGAGCGAAAGGCTCGCCTGGGGATTTATAAAATTCAGGATGATGATGGAAATTGGCTAACAACCAGGAATGCAATTGAAGAGCAAGCTGTATCATTATGCAAAACACTACTTTCAGCGGAAGAAGAAAGTGAAGGAATTGAGTCTTTTATTCAACAAATACCTCACTTGGTCGATGATGAAGATCGCAATGCTCTATTGAAGCCTGTCACCTTGGAAGAAATCAAGTCCGCTGTTTTCAGTCTTGATCAAGACAGCGCGCTAGGCTCTGATGGCTTTGGAGGATTTTTTTTATACACATTGTTGGGAAATTATAGCATCTGATCTTCAGCAGGTGTATGATGAGTTCTTTCTTGGCATCCCTTTACACCACGCCATTGGCAGCACACTGGTTGCTCTAATCCCTAAAAAAGCTTCAATATCATCATTCTCTTATTTTCAACCGATAAGTCTATGTAATTTCGTAAACAAAATTTTTACGAAGTTATTGACAAAGAGATTGATACAGCTCCTTCCGAAATTAATTTCCGAAGAACAGTCGGGTTTTCTAGCTGGATGGGACATCAATGATAACATTTTGTTAGCTCAAGACTTATGTCAATTTTTGGGTCACAAGGCGGTTGAAAATAATCTTATGCTTAAGGTTGACATGATGAAAGCATTCGACAGGGTCTCTTGGGATTTCTTAAAAGCAATTCTCCTACGGTTTTGTTTTCCTCCTCATTGTATAACTTTGATTTTTTCTAATCTCACTAACAATTGGTTTTCTATTCTCGTTAATGGATCTCTAGTAAGTTTCTTTCCAGCTTTTAGGGGATTAAAACAAACCGATCCGTTATCCCCGTATCTTTTTATTTTAATCTCAAAAGCTATGTCTCGTAAGCTTAACTTTCTTATTATGCAGCAAAAGAGGATTGAAGGATTTGGAACTCCAGCAGGATAACAAATTATTTTGCATCTTTGTTTGTGGATGATCTCCTAGTTTTTACAAAAGGATCAAAAGCATCTTTGCAGGCACTAAATGACTTCTTTATTGACTATGAAAAAGGTTCTGGCCAAAAGATCAATCGCGAGAAGAGCCAGTTTTATGTTGATACCTCCTGCCCGTAGTGATGAGTAACCCTGATCCGGCGCATTTTAGGAATGCAACAAGGCTCTATGCCCTTTAAATATCTCGGCTGCAAAATCGCTAAGGGACGGAAGCGGATTGATCAATTTCAGCATTTGTTGGATGCCCTAGATGCGAAACTCACAAATTGGAAAAACAAGATGCTAAACCCGGGTGGACGTTTGCTTCTTATCAAACATGTTCTATCAGCCATTCCGATCCACGTGTTTGCGGCTATCTCCCCGCCAATTTCAGTCCTTAATCAACTTGAGAAACGTTGCCAAAAATATCTCTGGCAAGGCTCAGAAGAAGGAAAGAAGCACTGGCAATCTTGGGAATGCTTAACCTTCCTTGTCGATGAAAATGGCATTGGCTTGCGGAAGTTCAAAGATGTTGTGAAAGCTTTTCCCCTAAAGATGTGGTGGAAAATTAAAAGCAAACATGGTCTATGGGCTAATTTCACACTTTCCTTGTCCACCTTAGCACGAAGGAAAACATCTTGGACTCAAGTTGAGAAGATTATGAGTTTAGCATCACAATACTCGAAAATTCAAATCCAGAGCGGAGATTCGAACTTTTGGCTCGACAACTGGTCAACGAAAGGAGTATTATGGGATATCCAAGATGCTTCCCCTCCTCAGCCGACTCTTACCATTAAGGAATTTTTTTACTCATAAACAGGATTATCTTCTCTCCTTCTGACAAGCCGTCGTCACAACTAGTCAAATAAATTTACCTATTTAACACTAGTATAGTGGAAAATAGGATCATACCCACAGAGAAGGAACACTAATTATTTTAGAAAACTAACAATAATGATTTTAAATTAAACTAAACCTAATACTAATAATTAAATCTAATTAATAACTGAAAACCTAGGGCAAAGGGTTCACCTACTGACCACTCAATTTAACTCAACCTCTATATATGCGACTTTGGACTTTCATTAATCTCACAATGATTCAACTATTTAAGAACTTTTCACTGTCGTGATATAATTCTCTTACTCAAACTAACCCTATGACTACTGTCGTGACTATAGGATTTAATTAGAGTACATTAAGAACCCTAGAATCTATAGCTGCAAAGACGGTGTTCCTACTATCGTGTCCCACTATCTAAGTTTAATATTCCCATTAACTAGTGCTAACCTTCAACCGTCGTTCCTTCAGTTAAACACCTTTAAAGTATGCAAATGGTGATCAAATACTCACATGGAATAAAAACAAGAATATTAAATATCAACTTATGAAAAAGTCACAATCATGAATTAAATTAAATTAAATAGTATGGCGGCTACATCCAAAACCATAGATTAAATAATTTAGCTACACATCATGTCAAAATAAATATAATTAAAACAGTGAAACCTGGGAAAAGTCGGCCAAAATCCGAAAGTTTGAAGTTCCTCCGATTGCGTCCTTCGGTCCGTGCTTTCCCTTCTGATGATGATGGTAGTGGAACGTGGAATTGTGTGGTTGATAGAGGTGTGAGGTTTAGGTGGCTGTGCTTAGAGGGTGGTATTGATGGGGTGATGAGGCGACGGGTTTTTTGGTGCTTTAGTTAAGGAGTTTGGTGCGAGGGTTTTTGTGGTGCAATGGTGGTGCGTGGAAGCTTAGTGCAATGGAGTTGGTTTTGGAGTGGGAAGGGCTGATGGTGTATGCGGTGTTGGAGAAGGGTGGAGGTTCGGTGATTCGGATGGGCTGCGGTAGGAGGAAAAAATTGCAGTGGCCAACTTCGGTGGTTTTCGGTTCAGTCTCGGTCCCCAAAAATAAAACCCTAATCCTCTTTTTATAGGTTTTCGTCAAACCCTATTTCTTCAGGAATAAGAAAATTATTTTTTTTCAAGCCAATTTAAATTAAAACTCCTCCGTATGAATTTATTCGGCCACCCCAAAATCAATTTGGAAGATTTCTTCTTCGGCAAAATCCGCAGAAGCTCAAATCGGTCAAATTCAAAACCAAATCCCAAAATTGCTTGTTTAATCCTCTAACTTTTCAAGTACTTCAATTTCTTCCTTGTCAATTTATCAAATCTTCAATTCTCCCTTAGAGTTACTTTTATCTTCATTTTAGCCCAAAATTTCAATAATTTCTCCATTTGAGTACAATTCCTATAATTAAAAATAAAATCATATAAATAGCATAAATGTATTCAAAATATTGGCAAAATCTCGCATAAAAGAATATTAAAAAATAGGTAAATTTTAAGCATATCACTTTCCAGAATTTTCTGACTCTGGCAACCATAGACTTCTTAGCAACCACTGATCAGACCTTCCATGATGGCGAAGATAGCATCATCTGGCAACCGACTCCAAACGAAGATTTCTCCATCAAATCAACCTATGAAGCCATTCGAACAAAGAGGATCAAACAGGGAGTTTTAAAGCATTTTTGGCATCGATTCATTCCACTTCGAAGTTCCTTTTTCTGCTGGAAATTAATAAACAATTTGCTTCCATTCTTTGGTATTGTAGCTTCTTTCGGGATCTACACTAATCCCTCCATTTGTTCTTTATGAAGGCACAATATAGACACAATGCAACATGTTTTTGTTGAATGCAAGATTGCAAACTCGATTTGGATATCTGTCTCGCATGTATTTCAGATCACGTTGTATCTGACTCCTTCTCTATGGCATATGATTCAGTCGTGGTGGTCT